TTTTTTTTTTTTTTTTTTTTTCAACCTTGACCCAATTTAAACTGGTGCTGAATGATGAGAATAAAATAAAAACAAACCAAGCCAAGTTTGGGAAACAAATTTTGTGAAAATTGCAAATTGGTTGGATTGACACTACCCAGCGAGAGTGATTCAAAAAGTGTTTTGTCGCCTATTCCTTGCGCATCTTGACCAACCAACCGGTGGTAACTCCTCTTAAGTATTAACAATTGCGAACTGTTTCCGACGATTCCCGGACCATTCAGCACACGGAACGACTCACCGAGAAATAAACAAGCGAACAGACCCGGAAGGGGGTTTGAAGCAAGTGAACATATATAAATTACAGAGCCATCACGAACGTTGGTGTTTGAATGTACAAAAAAATATATATATATAATTTACCCTTGGTGATTGCGGGTGGTATTGTATTTGCATTCACACTTGATCGCACGTACGTTTTGCCGCTCACGCTTGCGCGTCTGCCTTTTCGCTCAATGTCCGATTGGATATGCACATATGCACAAAAAAAAAAAAAAAAACAAAAAACAATTGAAACAAATTTTTCGTGTTTGACTTGTTGTTTTTTTCTCGTCGTTCATGCATTTCGCACTCGTCCATGCATACATAGTTTTATCTTCATTATCTTTGGTGATATGTTTGCCATCACACAGATGGTACGTTTTTTTTTTTTGTTCACCGTGAAGTGTAAATTTTGTTCCCCGTAAAGTGTAAATTTTGTTCAGCGTAAAAAGTGTAAATTTTGTTCCCCGTAAAGTGTAAATTTTGTTCAGCGTAAAAAGTGTAAATTTTTTGTTCACTGCATTTTTTTTTTTTCACATGCATGCCATCGTTCATTGCTCACTTTTTGTTTATTTTGTTCACTGCCTGTTTCAGTTACAATTATAGTTACAATTACAATTACACTTACAATCAGTTTTGAATTTTTTTTTTTTTTTCCCACTCGCCAATTTTTGTATTAGTATTTAAATTTGTTCGTCCCATTTTTTTATTTTCCTCCCCTTTGCACATCCATTGTTTGGACGAAAAAATAAAGTAGTAAGCAAAGCATTCCTTTAGTTCATTTTTCTTTTTTCTTTTCTTTTTCTTTTTTTTTTTAATACGTCAACTAGCACACACCATTGTGTTATGTGTACCAATTGTTAACACACATTTTTAGTGACACACGTTTTATTCAAGTTCAGCCAAGTTGGAACAAATTTTGTAACCATACACTGACACTTTTTTTTTTGCTTCCTCGTTTACTTTTTTTTGTTCGTTTTTTCTTAGTTTTTTTTTTTTTTTTTTTGTTTTTTTGGCTAATAATCATCCGTATCATTGATCAAAATGATAGAAGGTAAGTTTTTCCATTCATGAGTTGACACGTCCGACAGGGACCAAATGCAAATGCACTGGACACTGGTGTGTGTGTGTGTTGGACGGGGCACCAAATGGGCCATGTGTATCGGTAGAGATTGCTGTGTCCACCTTGGTTGTACTTCTCCTTTTTTTTGTCAACGCCTAGCGCTTCCCCTGTGTGTATCCCCACACGCACACAGTGGGTGCAACACCGTGCGGAGAGGCTACCCCCTTTCCTATGAGCTATTCCATCTCGCACGTTATATTCCCTTCTCTTTTTCTCCCCCTTCCCTCCTTCACTTGACCTCTTCACATGTACCCTCCTCTCTCCGTGCAGACACCAAATTGACCGAGGAAATCCTCAACGCAGAGTTATTGAACGAGAATAACGAGCAGACCACTCTTCAGGGAGTACTTGAAAAGCACAGCCACCTCAATGGAGTGGTGATCTTCGTGTATCCCAAGGCAGACACACCAGGCTGCACCGAACAGGCCAAGCTGTTTAAGGAGAAGTATGATGAGTTCACTTCCAATAATTATGCGGTGTATGGCTTGTCCGCCGACTCAGCTGATGCGCAGGTATGACCACGTCATGCGGACAAGTGACGCGCGGCACATTGTTTATCCCCGTTTGCACGAATCATGTTCATGTCTTTTCCATTTGGTTCGCCTATCTGTGGTGTCTTTTTTGCGTTTACGTTGACTTCGCACGTGTCTTTCATGCTGTAATGGGCGTACGGAGGGTCGCCCGCCCGCCGCTCCTCCATTTAATACATTTTTTTTTTATTTATTTGCCGCTTGTCCTTCCCTGCAGCTACAATGGAAGGAGAAGTTGGAACTGCCCTTCGGACTGCTGTGCGACGTGGAGAAGAATGTGCTGAACCAAATGGGCTTCCTGAACGAGGGCGACCGCATTGCCAGATCACACGCTGTGATTAAGAATGATTTTGTAGTGTCGTATTTCAAAAAGGGAGTGAAGGCAAGCATGTCTGCAGAAAATGTTTTGAACTTTATTATTAAAGGAGAGAAAGAAGAGGACGATGCTGAGACGGACGCCAAGGCAGATGGAGAGGATGACATGGAAGGAGTGGATGACGACACGGAAGGTGCAAATGTTAATGGAGACATCAAGGAAGAAGGACAGACGCAAGAAGAAGAAGGAGATACCAAAGTGGGAGGAACAGAAGGTACTGGAGCAGACAATAACACTGCTGCAGCGAAGAAAGCCAAAGGTGGTGCAGGAGGAAATGTAGCAAAGGCCACAAAAAAACCCACCAAGAAAAAAAATAATGCAGGAAATAAAAACAGCCAAGCAGCTAAGAAAGGAACGGCTGTGAAAAAAGAAATTAAAAAAAAATCGAATAACAAAGGACAACAAAAGAAAAATGCAAAAGTGTCTTCTAAAAATAAACTTGCAAAATCCAAAGGAGGAAGCAACAAAAAAGGAGGAAATGTTAAAAAAGAAAATAATAAAAAAGGCATGAAAAATAATAAAAATGCTAAGGGCAATGCAGGCAAAAATAACAATAAGGGAAATAAAAATATGAACAAAAAAAATATGAACAGCAAGGCAAAACAACAAAAAGGAGGAGCTGGAGGAAAAAACGATAAGAAAGGAAAGGTCAAGGGAAAAGGTGGACATGCAAATGCCACTAAAAAGTCCATGAACAATAATATGAATAAAGCAGCAGGAAAGAAAAACGTTAAGGGAAAGGTTGTTAACAAAGCAGCAGGCAAGAAAAACGCCGGAGGAGCCAAAAACAAAAATGCGAATGCACGCAAAAATGTGAAAAATAACAAGGCAGTTAAAAAAATGATCAAGAAAAAGTGAACACTACACATTCATATAAAGTTCTGCCCAAGTGACGGGGAGGCGTCTTTCTCGCATGATTGAACAGAGACCCATAGGCATGGCAAAATCGCCTGCGCAATACAGCGACATAAAAACAGCCACTCCGCCATGAAAATGCGTCAACAACACCATGTGTGTCGCGTTTATGCCCATGCACAAATACCCATTTGCGTTTGAGGCATGTTTCAGCCATAAGTGTAAATGTGTGTCCATGTGTGTAAATATAAATATCATCACTATGCCCTTGCGACTATTTCTATTCTTTTTTTACACGTTGATTTTTTTTTCTTTTCTTTTCTTTTTTTTTTTTTTTTTCTTCCTTGTCGTTGTTTTTTCCTAAGTATTTTTGTTTTAAATTTTTTTTTTTTAGCGTCCACAAGCATGTAGGTACATATAGTGTGTGTGCTGCATGTCGTATTAAGCACGCATATGTAAAAAGTGCATGGCGGGTAGCATATACATTTATGTGTACTCGCCGCACTCGTGCTTTTCCTTGGCTCACAAAAACGAGAAAAAAAAAGTACAATAAATAAAAATAACATGATACAATGTCACACGCGGTGTCCATTTTTTTATATTTTTTTTAAAGACCCCCAGAAGAAGCGTGTCCATGTTATTTTATTTTATTTATTATTTTTTTTTTTTTCTAACCCTTTTTGTTGTTGTACATCCATTGTTACTGTTGTAAACATGCGCATTGTTCCTCACCATTGGTAAAAAAAAAAAAAAAAAAAAAAAAAAAAAAAAAAAAAAAAAAAAAAAAAAAAAAAAAAAAAAAAAAAAAATACATGATGAACGGTAAAAACATATTAAAAAAATAAAAAAAAAAATACAAAATGAACAACTTAAAAAAGTAAAAAAAAAGAAAGAAAGACGCGGAAAATTGCATGATCAAGAAGCCATGTTAAAAACTTTTTTTGTTTTTTCGAAACAGAAACTTTTTTGAGCATTAAATTTTTATCGGGCCAATACCGGTGTGTGTTATAAGGCCCCTTTTTTTTGCCAGGGGTCCACACGGTGCTAGACAGCAATGTGTGCCACGCCCTTTCAGGACCCGTAAAACTGCACCGCGCGTGACTCAAAGTGTTCGCGGGACTGCCGGTCCACGACGTCCGTTACGTTTTGGCGGCGCTTGTGTTTATTGTAGAGCCTGTAGAGATGTTGCTTGGTGCTTTCCGGGGTGTACAGTCTGGCGTCGGGCCGACTAATCCTCTTGGTGAAGCGGAACAGGTCCCCCCAAAGCAACTTCCTAGCGCTTTTGTATCCATACCCCTTAAGTATGGACCCATTTGGGGTTCGCAAATTTGGAATTAGGGATGCACTTTTCGTTACTACAAGTCGCTCAAAATTTTGTGGACTTGAACACACGTCGATTAGGACATGCTTACCCGACTTGATGGTAGGAAGGACAACCCGTGGCCAGAAAAAAGATTTCTCTTCAGGAGTCAAGGCATCCGCTTCACATTTGTATACTGTTCTTGGGCCCTCACATTTACGTATAACAAGGTAAGAATATTTTAGCTCCTCCACATTCTTAGCTCTACTGCCTTTGCAGTAAATGTGATGAGAGAGCCTATGTGTCCTTTGAGCAAAGTGGCACCAGTCTTTTCCTGTTAAGGCTAGGGGACAAATACTTTCGTGAGGACATGGAGCGATGAAATGAAATTTGTCGTACTTTAATTCTGTTATGAAAAGCTCTCTTATGGAATGGATCATGCGGAACCCAGTGGGTGTACCACTCTCCACAATGATAAGGATTCCTCCAGGGGACAACCTCTCCCACATGTTTTTTATGTACAAATTTCTTGCGTTATAATCATACAGGGTTAGTAACGTGTGTGACGTGATTACGAGGTCGTACTTGTCCCGGGTGTTATTGTAGAGGTTCATCTGGTACATCACGTTGGGGATGCGCTCCGTGAGGTATTTGGAAATGGATTCGAACGAGTCGGACGACTCCACGGCCACGATGCGCTCGCAGCTTCTGTCTCTACAGCGGTCGCCGCTTCCACCACTGCTACTGTTCGCACTTGGGTACAACTCGTTCAGGGCCACTACGGCCACAGCGGGGACGCCTGAATACACTAACACTTTCCTGGGCACAAAATGCGGGAGCCGCGTTTTGATCTCGTGCAGAACTCTGTACATAACGCCGTAGTGGGCGTTGAAATTGTGAAGCGTGTACGCTATGCACGACTCAGGAAAGAACGTCATCCTGGCGGGGGAAGCGTTTTTTCCCATGTGTCTCGCATCCTCCGCATGCGCCAAGGCCATTTGCTCCATGTCTTTCCACTTGTTCTGGTACTCTGCCAAATGTTGTTTTAAACATTGGTATGACTTCTTTTCAAGGAGGTTCTCTAATTTGTTCCTTCCCTTTTTTTTTTTTTTTTTTCCCCCTCTTCTTCTTCCCCCTCCTCGTGCAGCAATTTGGACGGCAAAATGCGAGGCAACTCTACACAATTCCTGCTGGTCATTTTTTGCATTACATATCTGCCCAATTTTTCCAAATCTTTTTTTTTTACAAATTGTTTTGCCAAATTGTGTAATTTTTGCCTGACCTGTTCAGGTATTTTTAACGTTTTCAAAGATACCATACTTACTCGATCGAGATGGTCCACCTCCTGCGCGCTTAGACTTTGGCTCTCCGCGATTTTATCAAACTTGAACCTTCTCAGTGCGGCCATGCCGCGCGCGCCCTCACGTCTGGGCAGGAGCATCTCAGGAGAGGGCACAGCGGTGAGGGCGACTCACAGAACGGCGACCCTGTTGTGCTCCTCTCCTGTACGTCGCTTCACATTCCAATTAGACTCTTCCACAACATCATGTGGTGTAAGGGAACGGCGTGGGCAGTGCCATACACTCATTACAAAAGGAAACACAAAAAAGAAAACGCAACATATGGCCTTTCGTACGTGCTGGCCTTCATCATCACTCCTCATCGTGGTAACCCACTCATCCACACCCCATCAAAGCGGCTTCATTCTTTTTTTTTTTTTTTTTTTTTTTTTTTTTTTTTTTTTTTTCTGTGTTACTTTTTTACCAACCTGTGCGCGGCCGGCCAACTTATTAATTGTCCGTGCCCGCCACTTTTGCGTGTTCTCAATTTTTCCATTTCTGTATCATTTGGCGGGGGAGACTTGCACTCGAAAAAAAAATATAATAAAATATAAAGAAGTAACAAGGGCATAATATGTACCATGCCACGCGTGTGATATCCTGTTTGTCCCTTTGGCCGAGCGGCGACTTCTTCTATATAACATGGGTCCGGCAAAAAGAAGCGCCGCGCCGGAAATGCAGCACAGAGCCATTTGCGCCGCTGATGCACTGTCGGGCTTTTTCTTCGCTGCTACCAATTTTTTTTTTTTGTTTTTTCATGTTCCAGCTACATCACGACGGAAAAAAAAAAAAAAAAAAAAACTACCATTAAAGAAACCTTTTTTTGGTGAGCACGTGTTGACATTCCTGTCGACGTTATTTTTTTCTGTCGCACAAAGTGGGGGCGTATTTTTTGGTCTGCAAATTTGGCCTTTATTTGACGCTATTTTTGCGACTATTTTTTTTGTTTTTTTTTTTTTTTCTATTTGTTTTCTGTTTTGTTGCCGCCTCTTTTTTGCTGCTACCGCTGGCCTCCCTTTACTGAATAAAGCGCAGTCTCAGGAGAGAGACGCGAATGGAGAAACGTCCACCTGGCGGACAGCTTATTTGACGGGGCAGGTCGAGCAGAGATCACCCCCCCCCCCCCCCCTGTGATCGTTTTTCGTTCCATTGGCTAAACGTTTCCATTGATGCCACTTTGCATCCTCTGAGGGGTCCACATCCCCGTGTTTGTCCATTCCAAACCCCAAAAAAAGGGGAGTAAAAAAAAAAAAAAAAAAAGTCGGTGTGAGGGAGAAGTAAAACGAGACATTTTGTTCCCCTTCCATTTAATTTAGTAGCATCGTTCACCACAGAGAACCCTAACACGGGGGTAAGGGGGAACAGTGAAATAGCACTTAAAAGGACAATCTCTCCACCGCTCACCAAGTAAAAGGAAACTGCGGCGTTGCACTTAAACCAACATGGAGCTGCTGAAAGTGAAGAGGTACGCGGAGCTCATTGACCAGTTCGCCAAGCAGGAAGATGATGAGGTGGTCATGCAGGTGGACAAAACATCACATGAAGAAAAAGGAATTAACGAAAAAGGGAAAAAAGATGTAGTAGAAATTATCGAATATTTTTCAAACATGCTGGTCAAATATTTTTACAACGAGTATGAACAAAATGATATTTCAATTGTAGACGCCGGGTTCGACTCTGACCAGCTGTGGTTGTTTATTGAATGTCTTATTAAGGATAAGAAGCTCGAGGGTCTACTTTCCTTTTTTGAAGAATACGAAAAAGGGTTGGACAAGGGCCAAGCGGAGGACGAGCAGGAGGAATGTTCCAGTGAGGAAGAAGATGCCACAATTGGAGGGACGCCTCGGAAGAAACGTACAATCGGTCGGGTGAAAATGAAAGACCCCTCATCTAAGAGGAGGAGAAAGGTGCATTTTGCTGAGGACGCATCTCAGTTGAGTAGCGATATCACCGTTAGTGTGGAGGCAGACGAGGCTGCTGACAGTGGAGATGCTGCCTCCCGAGGTGACGAATTTTTCAATGAAGATGAAATGCACCAGTTCCTCGATGAGGAGGAAAAGAAAATGTTACGCGGCCAATCGGGGGAGGACTCCGAGGGGGGCAGCTCCGATGAGGGTGCCAGCGGTGGGGACGTGGACCTTAACGAGTTCCAGTGCGACTACCAAGACGGACGCAAATTAAAGTATGGTGATTTTTACCAGGACGAACACAGCGACGGCGACGAAGAAAAGGAGGAGGAGGATGACGAAGAGGATGATGAAGAAGAAGAAGAGGATGATGAAGAAGAAGAAGACGATGAAGACGATGATGAAGACGATGATGAAGACGCTGACGATGACGATGATGAAGAGGAGGAAGAGGAAAGTGAAATGAAGCAGGAGAGACCCCGCGATAGGCGTGGCCGAAAAGAGAAGGACGAAGAAATCGAGCGCGAGCTGCGCACAATAAACGAGTTCGACATTCAGCACCGCGCTGGGAGCGACGCGGGCGGAAGTGACGACGACGCGGGTGGCAGCGACGAGGACAGGCCGCAAGTAGACAAGGACAAGGAACACATAGAACAGGAGCTGATTCAAAAGAAGCATTGGTCTCTTACCGGAGAGGTGTTTGCACACGATCGCCCCAAGAACAGTCTGCTGAAGCTCAATGTCGACATACCCAAATTAAACTCCGGTGCAAACGACGCATATGTAAGTAAAGCCGTGGGGGGTGAAGAGGAAGACGAAGAGGAAGGTGGTGACAACGAGCAACGTGGTGAGAACGCAGCAGGTGGAGGAAAACAGCTCCTTATGAACAAAAGCAAGAGGAGGAATTTGCTCAAGGACGCAATTGAAATGGTGGTAAAGCAACGGATTCAAAATATGTTGTTCGATGATGTGGAAAAAAAACGAATAGAAGACCTGGACCTGTTGCTGAACGAGGGTAAGGAGACAGATGGCAAAGAGGATGAAGTAAATTTCAATCACCTCAACTTCAACAAAAGTAAACTGAGTCTAGCAGATGAATATACAAAAAAGTACGAGGAAGAAATAAAAAAAAATTCAGCTCAAAATAAAGAAATAAATTTACAAAAATCAGAATTAATGAATTTGTATAAAAAGATCATGCACTGTTGTGATTCGCTCTGCAACGATTACTACCTACCCAAGCCAGCACAACTGAATCCATTAAACAAGAGTGATCAGGTGTCCACCCTTCATATTGAGGAGACCGTCCCCATCATCCTATCTGCGAAGGACAGAAGTGCACCTGAACAGCTGTTCCAACCAGGACACATAAAACAGCTAGAGGAAATGCACCAGAGGGAAAAGAAATCGTTGAGGAAATCTAATAAGGTTAAGAGGAAGAAGAAGTTACTTCATTTGTTTGAACAAAGTGGCAAGGGAATCAGTGAACTGAAAAAAAGAAATGAATATCTCATTGGAAAAAATAAAAAAGTGAAGGAGCAGAAGGAAAGCGCCGCCAAGTACGGCGTAGGCTCCAAGGACCAGTTGCGAGGCAAAGGCCGCAATCGCTACGACTTCGCTGGGGCCATCTCCCAGGCCCAGGCCCGCGACCAGAAGCGGGTAAGCGGCAAAAGGGGATGAGCGGCAAAGGGGATGAGCGGCAACAGGGGTACGCGCGGTGGGAACAAAGCGACCGCATGGCGAATGGGAGGTGGACCCCCCCTTTTTACCTCTTTGCGTCTGTCACACAGGCACAGCCGCCGCGAGCTCGTCGCACGGCTCAGCCACCACATGAAAATGAAAGGCATACTTTCCCCTACCGGAACCGCTACACAGTAAATCACGCGCGCCGGTAAGTGAAGATGGGGAAACAGAGCATCAACAACGTTGATAGTCGCCCTCATCCGCTTATCTGCAATGCTCACTTTTTATACTTTTTCAATCGCGTTAAAAAAAAAAAAAGGGCAAACCAGGAGAGAACAAGTCTTCCTTGCCTGCGTGATTGCATCCATTTTGCTTTGTCCTGCGAGGAATTTTTTTTTTTTGCACAAAATTGTGAGGAGTGGTAGGGTTTGTACCAGTGTTGTTTTTGTCACAGTACGCTCCCTCCAATGAAAATGTTATTGTGCCTCATTTTTTTTTTTTTTTTTGGCGTAAACTTTTTTCCTTTTTTGTAACGCCCCCGTGCGGGGGGTGACGTGCACATTTGAAACAAAAAATAATTTTTTTTACCCCTTTTGCACAAGACAATAAATTGCTTGTGTGTAGAGGTGCCTGCGGCTGCGGCCGGGGCCGGGGCGACGCATTTTTTGGCCTCCACATTGGGCATGGCAAATTAACGGTTATTGGTTCCTCGATGTTTGTGCTTAATGGGATACACATGGTCATACGCTCGATATATACCAGTGAAATGTACTGGATGAGTGATTCACTTTTATGAGGCTGCTTTCCCTGCTTCACGCTTGTAACCGACACAACAAGGGTGTGTATACTTTTTCTGGCTGACCATGTTTTACTCTGGTGTGGGCTTGTTACACCAAGATATTTTTTTTTTTTTTTTTTTTTTTTTTTTTTTTTTTACAACTTCGCCACTTGGTCCATTTGCCACTTTTTTTTTTTTTTTGTTTTTTTTTGTGTTGCCCCCGTCGGCTCATTCTACGGGGCGCGCTCCGATGGTGCTGTCATGAAAAGTTCAAAAAAAAAAAAAAAAAAAAAAAAAAAGAGGCGACATTGTGAGAGCATACAATCTGATAGGCATACAACATAGGGACCAATTGGTGAAGAAAAAACACATTGTGTCACGGGGAAGTTTTTTTTTTTTTTTTTTTTTTTTTTCTCCTTTACACATTGAACCAATTCTCCTGTTGTTTTCCCCCCTTTGCTACTTCTTTTCTGCCCCACTGCGACGTTGCTTGTATTTCCGTGTGCCGTTGCTGCTACCAGGGGAATGGAAGCAACGAAATGGTGAGGAATTCTCTTCCTGCATTTGTAAATGAGTGTACAAAGTGAGATGCAACCGATCTGTATTTAATTTTGGCGCCACATGCGCATTTCAAGTGCGCATGCAAAAAGCACGTGCCACCTGTGCATCACCACCAACCCCCAGGAAAGGCAACACAATTTTCTTCACCCCCTGAGAAATTACACCGCGCTTAGCATCATCCTGCTGCTGATTTTTTTTTTTTTTTCTCCTCTTAAATGTTTTCTACTGTTTGCGCCTGTTTGTGATTGTGAGTGACGCTTCCTTGGGTTCATTCCTACACGTGTGTACCTCACGGGGAAGCGTACGCATACGTCGACGTCGCTGCAACCGTTGCCATTATTTTCCATTCCTTATGAGTTTTTTTTTTTTTTTTTTTTTTTTTTTTCTTCCCATTTCGCATGACGTTACGTTGATCAGAAAAGTGCAAGAGGGCACAACCCAGTCATCAGTTGAAGTTTCCCCCTCTGGGTGGGTGCCCCATAGAGTCATCCCAACGCAAGAGGAAACAAAAAAAATACTGCGGCGGAAAGATGGAAAAGGACCCTGCAAAAGAAGAGACCCACTGGTACACATAGGTAACGTGGAAGAGTAGAGCTTGATTTTTTTTTTTTTTTTTTTTTTTTGGCGGGGGGTTCCCTATCTGGTTGGAGTTGCCCACTTCGTCTGTGTATGCTCGTTTGTGTAACCAGGGGCGCACTCGCTGGTAAGGACGTGGGTGCACACACACGTACGTATATATATGGGGCTAGGTACACCATAGGTAGGGCACCCACGCTAGCAGCATCTACCAAATCATTCGAAGCGCCAAAAGGGAAAAGAAAAAAAAAAAAAAAAAAAAAAAAAAAAAAAAAAAAAGAAATGTCAAACAAGTCGAGCTCCGAGAAGAACGCGCACTTGGGGCAAGTGCCACCGGAGGAGTTACACTTGGGAGGAGTACACCACGTAATATACACACATCAGTGGGGAGGTGACTCAGAAGATGCTTCAACAAACCGGGCAAGAAACAATAGGGTAGACGCCATGGACATGATTAAAACGAATGAGGTAAGTCTTTACGAGTCGCTAAATGATTCTACCTGTAACAAATTGAAGAATATACATGTACTGTATGACCAGGAAGGAGTGGGGACAAGCGGAAGAGAGAGACCTAACTCGATTGCAGCAAGGCACAACACAATTGTGGAGCCAGGTCTTGACACAGACGTACCTAATCACATTTTAAATTCATACAATAGAAAGTACAGAGCGGGTCAACTACCTAGCGGCGTGACTTCACTACACATGCTGGAGGGGGAGACTCACGCTGAAGACACATTAGTGATTAACAAACGGGATGATTTTGAGCAGACTAGTTGTGGGGATGGAGACAGGGATGAATCATTTAACGAATTTTACTCGTGGGGGGACTACAACTTTTTTAATCGAGGGATGGAACCTCAGCGACATATAGAGACAGCCTTTTGTTTGGGTACAAGAGACACGAATTGCTTTTCGCGTGTGACAGGTGGAGCCTCTCCTCCCATGTGTCTTCCCCCAAACAAAGGTAAAGACGTGACTCCTAACCACCTGCACAAAAGAGAGTGCTCCTTTGACCAATCGGAGAGGTCTCCACATGATGCATACGAGAGAAGCGGCTACCACTACATCGCTGGAGGTGCCCCCCATGTGAAAAGTTTTTTAATGAACGAACAAACCCATTTGTGCAACGTGAAGTTGAATGGGGAGGAGGAGCATGGCGAGATGGGGGCTGCCTCAAAAGGGGGATACTTCCCCCCCTTAACAAACAAGTGTGGTAGGTGTAGCAGTAGTGGGGTATTACGAGGTGGCTGCTTCGAGCAGGGAAGAGAAAAGTTGCTCACCTTGAACCACTTGAGCGGTTATGAAGACAATGCGATGGTTTATGGGCAGACGGAGGGAACCCACATGAGGCTGAATTTGAGTCGGGTGCCCCCTGCACCGATCGCACAACCAGCGGCACAAGTGCATCATCATGAGGAGGGGAAGCGGCATAGGCAGGAAGAGGCAGAGGACACCATGTTGCTCGACACCGTGCATTACCCCCACAGCAGGGGGAAGAACCCGCGTTATGAATACCCCTCATTGGGAGGTGGCTACAAAGGAGAATCAGTCCTTTTATCATCTCGGGACCCACAAATGGAAAATACAAAAGGACCTTCCACAAAGGACATGTTCGACTTCCCACCGGTACAAGCAATTCATATGAACGATACGCACATGTTGAGAAGGCAACAGGGGAGCGTACACATACCCTTAGAGGGAAATTTAAATGAAGAGGGTCACGATGAGGGGGAGCTGATGCGTCTTAGGACAAAGGGCTTTCCTCCAAACGAAGACCTAAATCGTTTTTGCATTGAAAACGAACTGGGTATTCACCTGAATCAGAGGCAGGTCTCCACAGGAGAGCAAACATTTCGTACACTTCAAACAGATAGAGGAAGAAATGAGTTCCCCTCAGCAGACGGCAAACGTCTAAGCGAACATGACGAGGAGAAACTGGACCCGCAGATATGTGACTTGTTCAGATGCACCTCCCGGGTTTCTACTTTTTATGGGGGAGACCCCAGAGGAGAGAATCCACTTCCCTTCATCAGAGGAACAAAACACGCACACAGACTACCCCCTTCCAACACATACCAGTTGAATGAATTCATAATGGTGAATCCTCCCCCCTCCTATTTCAGTGGAAATGAATTAGTAACCGAACAATCGCGCAGAGACAACAACCACCCCACAGAGAAAAACCACTGTGAAGACATGCACTGGGGAGAAAGCACATTGAAGAGGGACACGCACAAAACAAATGAGCATGATCTTATAAGGGTAGAAAATATGTTCCAGGAGGGTACTGTTGATGTGGTTAGGAGTGGTAGCGAAGGGGGGGACACAAACAAACAGGAGAAACTAAACCAGTGGAGGTGTAATAAGAGAGAGGAAAATGTAATGAGCCCTCCCTTTACCACGAACCATGCTTTGAAGAGGCAGCCATGTAGAGGTGGTATGCTGTTTGATCACAACGAGGAAGAAACAGTTGGGGAGAAGCGAGGCTCCTTCTCTTCAATCGTTACTCCAGGGGTATCGTGTCACGCTGGGTGCCTGCCCAGGGTGGTGGTTAGCAACAGCACAAATCAGTCCCCACAAAAACCGCCACACCTTCCCCCCGATATGCAAATCGGTAGTACTCATATGGGTGCAGACACATCAGGAGGTAACGGAATGGAACAGGTACCTTATGAAGAAAATGGCCGCTGCACTCAGGGGGGAGAGGAAAGGGGGGTGTTTAAGGACCCATTGTTGTATAGTAGTAGTAGTAGCAGTATTAGGGGGGGGGAGAACCCCTGGGCATTCCAGAGGAAGAGGGAAATTTTTACAAACAACAGAACTGAACTGAGCAAAAATGAGTTGACCTACAGGGGGGGGTTATTTGCTAGCCCGTATCGTCATGAGGCGAAGGGAACGATACACAATTTGACCCGCGCAAGTGCCTCAAGGGAAGGTGATGAGGGACATGAGGGTAGTGGGGAGGAGGCCCGTCGGGAAGACGCCTGTCATGACGGCACTGCGCCCACCTCCTCCGGGGAGAAGGCATGGGGTAATAATCCCCTGGCTCTTTCTCTCCCTATGTGGAAGGCAGACAAAGGTTGCTCACCAGGTGGGCAGAAAAACACCGCCTGTGAAGGCATTTACAAAGACAAGCCGATTCCACGAGTGACCTACAGTAGGAGAATTACAAATGTTGGTGAACCACGGAACGCACTGAAGGATAACAATGTGAATTTGTTAACATATTTTAAAATGAATTTCGAGAGAGGTGGGTTCGCCAGCGTTGGAAGTGCTCGTGTTGGGGTGGGTGGTTGCTCTGGAGTGAACACAATTGGTAGGACCACTGATAAGAGGACTCCTCTACAGAAGGACTTGGCCCTGAGGCCAACCACCCATGCACGAGTTGCGGAGAAGAGCAACCTGTTCGAGTCGGTCGATGCGTTTGTTTACAATTTTAAACAGAGCGGCGTCGTCTCCTCCGGGGGGGAGTCTCATCAAGTGGAGGGGCGAACTGGCGGCGTGGTGAATGTGGATCCGGACTGCCAAGTGAATGCTCGTGGGGGGGGAAGCGGCAACGACGTCACTACGAACAACTGCACGAAGGGTAGGAAGATAATGAAGGAAGACAACGACCTTACGTGTGTGCAAAAGGGGGAGGGAAAGACGGAAGCTCAGCATTTGCATGCAGAGGAAGAGGAAAAACTCATGGGCCAGACATGCACCCCCGTGTATGAAAAAAAGGAACAAGACGGAGCCGATGAAAGAGCCGATGAAAGAGGCGAAAAAGTCATTCTAACCATTCAATGGAACATAAAAAAGATTTCCTTACTCTGTTCGAGCGACAACTACTTCGTTGTATCTCCTGAGTACAAGACAGAGACCGGGATCAATGAGTTTTTTATTTTATTAAACATACACAATGACATGCGCATTTTGGTGGAGAATTCATTTGACCTTCTCTTCTCCTACACAGGGTTTTGTGACATCCTCTTTTCAGTTACCTGTGGGACGCACCAGAAGAAGTTTTGCTCATATGACTTTTCTACAGTCCCTTGGTTTGGGTTCAACAAATGGGGTACTTTAAAAAATTGCATGCAGAATGATAGCATGTCCATTACAGTTGACATTCATGAAATTCGAAGGAAGGACTGTTCACTCAAGGAGGTGTTCCTCAACAACGTTATATCTTCCATGAGGAGTAACAATGGAAGCTTCTACTTCAAGGAGGGCACCTCGAATTCCTCTTCGGTGAGGGAAAAGAAGAATAATCAGGTGTCCTCCTCGATAATTGCTGCGCCATCCGCCACCGCCACCAATACTGCTGCTACCTCCTCTCCCCTGGACACCGAACACCACAGGCGAAGCCACAAATGCTTCTTCCCTCAAAATACACAAAATAAAAGCGACTCCTTCAACAAAGTAGCCGACACCAATGTTAAGAGGAGACACCACACAGGTAGCATACACATGGTTAGTACGCGACCCAGTGCACTACAATGCAAAAACAAACAAACGAACTTGAACAGTTGGCATGGAAAAATCACAAGTCAGGAAAATCTCAGGACAAACAAAGAGACCAACCCAACCACTGGCAATAAGTTATACAAGGTGATGAAAAAAAAATGAGTACTCACATAAAATAATTGAAGTATGTTCCCCTTTGGATGGTCATCATGGAGGGAGCGGTATTCAACCACTTCAGGGCCTTCAGCACAGGGACCCTCCACTCCAAAAGCACCGCGGGAAGCATTGTCCAGAGAAGCGCTAAAATGAGGTACCAGTCGATCTGTTCAAAATGAGACCATGGGGTAGTTGGAACGTCCACACCAACAACGCGTTACTATATACCATGTGGTGAGGTACCCCACGCCGCGTTGCCAAGTGAGAAGCTACCCAAGTAGAGAGGGTCGTAAGTCACTCACGGCAGGGGCCACTTTGCAACACCGATTACTCGAAGAGCGAGTAAGATAAGGCTCCACACGCGCGTGTGTTCTTCGCAGGATGGAAACGAATCAACCGGAAGAACATCTCCTCCTAAAAAAAAATATCATCACATGATATCCCCTGTTAAAATGAAATTGCTCAATGGAAGGTGACCAATGGGTGGGGTCAGGGTAGCTTCTTTTTTTTTTTACTAAGGCAGAAGTTGTGGCGTGGCCTCTTCCTGTTGATGATCCCCCGATGGGTGCATGCACAACGTGCACAACACCTTACACACAAATGATTTCGCGGCGGAAGACCCGTCGCTGCCACGTCGCTACCCTTTTCCACCTGTGCCCCCAAGTGATAACCCCCTTTATGCGTATTGAACAAATGCACATCCCTGTACATGTGTATTTTTTGCAAGGGGAATGCGGGGAGGGGGGAGGACACGTTGTGCCTCGCCTCACTTGATGCCCCAGGCTGTATTATTTTTCCTTCGAAGGAAATTCCTCAAAATGGGTTCCCCCTCCCCCCCTTGGGGAAAAGCTTCGAACGGATAATGTGCACGCTCACTTTGGCTGAAATAAACTACAACCCTCTTGTTACTGTTATAAAAAAAAAAAAGTTAAGAAATAAATGGAAAGGAGATAAAAAGAGAGCGTAATGCATCACGCTTGAAGAAGGGGGACGCTCTTTACTGCCGCATGCAGAAGGTGGACGCTCTTTACTGCCACATGCAGAAGGGGAAAACTTCACCCCGTACTCTCCCACGTTTGCCTCCAACTCTTCGCGTCCTATTTGAGGCCTCCTTCGAAGAGGCGTAGATGGCCCGTGTTCACGCGGACGAGCTCGTTCTTCCCCCGCAGCAGTAGGAGGGAGCCATCGTGGAGGAGTCCTTGGAGGTGCCCATCAATCAACTCATGATCTGTATCGACCATAACGGTCCTGTCTTTGTACAAAAGTCTCGGGGTTATGTAGTCCAGGAAGGAAGAAAATCCCTCCTCTTTCAATTTTATCACTACTGCATTAAAATTGTAAATCAGCTTTTCCATAACGTCTTCTGCCGATGGGATTAAATACAAGTTATTAAAATCTCGTTGTAGTTCCTTCTGCACACAAGTGTAGTTATCACGTAGGAGGTTATTTTTGTCAGTCAGGGTTAGGTTAATTCCTATGCCAACCATCACACACACGTAACGGTTTAGCAAGGAGGGGAAGTCATCTAGGTAATATAAGTTAACAAGGCAACCGGATATTTTTTTTTCGTTCACAAGCACATCATTAATCCACTTGATTTGTGTTACCAAATGGAAATGCTCCAACGTTTTGCTCACTGCCACGGTGGAAGTTTGTGCTAGGTACTTGACCTTCTCTAGGTCTTCCCTTTTCCACAGAAAAAGAAAAGTTGTAAAAATATTTCCCCTTTCAGATAACCATATTCTGTCTTGCTTCTTCTTCGTGTCTCTCGTCCCGATTCCATTTGTCTGTTCATTACACGTCACCAACACCATATTTTTGTCGTCTTGTAAAATCCCATTTTGTAGAAGACGTGCCATGTTCCGTTTGCAGTACAGCTGGGTGGAGTCTAGCACGTCGAAGTGAAGGCGCAGTGCACCCAGGTCAGGGTAGCACCTTTCGAAAGAGGCAGGGGGGTCCATCTGGTGCGGAGGGGGTACTTTTTCTCGCGGGTTGCTTTAGCCTATATAAACCGCTTTTCTCCCTCTGTAGAGATATCTTTCTTTATAAATTGCGAAACAGATGACCTTATTCTTCTTTTCCCCCCTTTTTTTTTTTCTCTTTATTTTTGTTAAAAATATTACGTTCGGCTCGCATGCAGGTGTGGAAAATCTCCATGTGAGAAAATTGCCTTCGGGAAAATAGGCTCCTTGTGGAACTGCGCATGCTTGGCCGCCGCGGCTCTACATGCTTTCATTTTTGCATGCACATTTTTGTGTACACTTTTTTGAGATTCCTTCATTTCGTTTTTTCCATTTCGTTTTTTCTATTTCATTTTCTCTGAAATTTGGCTAATGCTGCTTTGCCTGCGTTCTTGTATTCCTTCTTGCTTTTTTTTTTTTTTTTTCTTCCTATGTGGTTGCACTCCGTTGTTTTCTCCGCGCGTGTGGAAAACCACTTGCGGGGTAGAACTATTTATTTTTCTACATTTCTACTTTGCTGTTTTGTTATATTTTTTTTTTTTTTTTTATATAAGACTAGCCAAAAGTGGACCAAGGCATCACAAACGAGCTCATCCTAAACCGTACACAATTGCGCTTCCCCAAGTGAGGGGAAAAAAGTGGGGGAGGGGACATGCCCATGGGAGTTTGATCCCACTAATGTTAGGGACCACTTGCCGCGTCTTGTTCGGGTTACTCAAGTGAGTGGTGTGGAAAGGAATGCTAGCCATTTTGCAGGATGACTTTGTTGCCCATTTTTTTACCTGACCGGCAAGGTGATGTTTTATGCGCTATTTTGCAAAGTGCTTTTTTTTTTACCTGACCAGCAAGGTGATTTTCCCCTCGATGAAAATGAACACTTGGCAAAACCGTGGTTAGAGAAGGCAAATGGGAAAACAAACCCCAGCAACGTCTTTATAAGGAGAGGAAGCACATCTGCACAGAGTATAGAGACCACCACATGTCTAGTGTCCGTCGCACCCGTCCCGTGATCAATCTACTTGTACATTTCACATGGAAGTATTTTTGTGTTTTTTATCCATTATACCGTTTAAATGTCCACACATTGGTACATATAAAATTGTTTATTTTTATATATGTAGTTAATTAAAAAAAAAAAAAAAAAAAAATTGGATACACGCTACACGTGGGGAAAAAACACAAGGGAATAAAAAGGTGGGTAATAATTATAAAGCACATTAACCTGAAAATGTGCAGAACGAGGGATGCACAACTGTGCGTTTTGTTATATATTCTCCGTTGAAGCGCTGCTGAGAGCGCGGCTTGTTTGAAACTTCATGGCCGTCCGCCAAGTGTAAACATTCACGCTGATGCACCACGCCGGTGGTTGTATGGGGTGATAAAACTGTCTGGAAGTGTCGGTTGCTTTCTACCACAATACTTGGTCAAACGGGGACCCCACACCGTGTGGAGTGGGTTACCCCCCCCCCCCCCACTTCTCTTTCTTTCCTGGCTCTACCACTCATCCGCGGCTATCGGGTTTTTCCATTCCTCGTTCGCATTGTCATTCCATTCTTCCTTCTTGTTCCACTCTTCATATGGAGCCTCTGTGGCAAATTGGTTCTCAGTCAAGTGAGGAGCCGCAGGGGCCGTTTCCTCGATGGCTAAATTTTTCAATTCAAATTGTTCAGGGTCTCTCCACAAAAACATATCCACCATAACATTCCATGGTTTTGATCTTGGTAACGTCCCCTTGAGGTATAAAACTTCTTGTGCCAACAGCCAGTACATAAGTGCAATGGATTCCTTTCCTTTATTGTTACATGGGATAGCAATGTCTACATGCTCTAGGGGAGAATCTGAATCGCACAGAGCAATGACAGGGATGTTTGCATATGCTGATTCTTTAACCGGTTGTGCATCTGTCCTAGGATCTGTTACAATTAATAATCTGGGTTCTGTAAACTTTTGAATAATTTGATTGGTCAACATACCAGGGGTCCATCTTCCGGCGATTGCTTGTGCTCCTGTGTATTGGGCAAACTTCAAAACTGCTCGACTTCCAAATGGCCTGGCAGATACAACCACCACATCAGCTGGGTTGTTAATGGCTACAATAATTCTTGCGGCCAGTTGCAGCTTTTCATACGTTTTGGCTAAGTTCAGGATGTGCACGCCGTCCTTCGCCCTGGTGTATACGTACCTCTTCATTTTGTTTTCCAAATTCTTCGTTCCGATGTGGACCTGCAGGGGTTACCATGTTACGAGGGGGGGATATATATATATGTGAGGGGTTCTTTGCCAAGCGGCTCCGTGTACAAGGGGCTTCACGTTAGGGAATTATACTACGGCGTATAATACTGTGTTTGGGGCGTGACTGAGGCCGTGAGGTGGCACTCCCCCCACCCATGTAATGGCATATATACATTTGCAAAGCCACCCTCCAGTGGGGTAGAAGAGTCACCCCATCCCGGAGGACTACCTTCAGCGCAGCTCATCATCCAGTATACTTACCTTACAGATGAGCATCTTCGCGATGCTTTCCTCCTTGGGGGACTGCACTTTCTTATTAGTCGACATTTTTTTTTTTTTTTTTTTTTTTCCACAGTTATAAAGATAAGAGATGGGGACGTGATGTAATAATATCTTGGCCTGTTCTTGCGTTGTTTTAAAATTGTTCACTTTTGTTTATGAGTTCCAAAAATGGGCTATTATATATTATATGCTCACCCTTTTCTTGTTTTCCTTTTTTATTTATTTCTTTTTCCGTATGAATATGAGCGGTAGAAAGTTCTTTTTTCTATAAGGACTTTTATTCGATACTTTTAATGTATGCTTCTTTTTACGTAAATCTTGAGGGTTTAAATTTTTTTTTTTTTTTTCTTTTTTTTTTCTTTTTTTTCTGCAAAAAATTGGTATTTGCAATTGCGGCATGGAAAAAAGTGCCTCATTCATTTATATATAATATTGCGTGGAATCGGAATGAAATTCCGTTTTGCATTTCCCCTTTACCCTTATGCGCGAGATGGACTTTTAAAAAAATAGAGAGGTGGAAAAAAATGACCAAATTCGGTTTTCAAAACCGCA